GCCGCTGGACAAATTGTAATTTTTATTTCCAAATATTTTCTGCTCTTTCTTGAGAAAAGCGTTTTTTTGTTCAAGAGAATCGATCGATCAAACCAATGCTGATTCTTATTTTGCCAAACAATACAAATTATTGATACATTTTTATAAAGATATAGAGACATCTGGTCACGCTTGTCCATCGAATTTGGGAAAAGGATTATTTGCTTTTTATAGCACAGCCTTTCAAGCTATGGTACTAATCTGTCAAATGGCTTTCATCCACAACATCGTTCCTACCAAGTTCATGACTTTAAAAAGAATTGAATTTTAGATTTAGATTTTTGAAGATATGGGTTTACTTTTGAAAAATTCGCTTGAAACGTAAAAAAATTTCGCTCAGGCCAACATAGTCCGCGCTATGGTGGATATTCTCCTAAGTTTTACGATGTGTGATCAATAATAAAACAGTATCAAATGCAGTGCCGCCTATCGGGTGAATTTTTAAAGATCACACAGGGGCCTATAGTTGTTTTTGAACAGCTGTAGGAGGCGACCATGGGTTGCCGGTAGTCAACCGTCTGGTCATCAGGCTAGCAACCTATCGTTTAGGACATAAAACCCATATTGCTAATGAAAAGAAGTTTCTCACCCTACACCGGGAACGGTAAGGGTCTAACTAACTAAATAATTAGCAAATGCAGTACTAAATCTAAGGAAAGTTCAACGGATGAATAAAGCGCATTCGAAAGAAAACACTCATATTTAACGATGACTTAACAACTACAGCTTATCTCTTTATTGATTTCGACTTGAAAAAAAGAGCAAAAAAGAACACAATAAATCGACAACCAGAAGAACTCATCGTATTATTCGACGAATTGTTCATTACTGTTAGTTTTTATTTGAATTTAACAGTCGCATAGTGCCTGGTATGGGTTCGGCCCATATTTCATCACCAATCCATGCGCAGAAATACTTCCATATATCCATACCAAACTTTGAAGGACTTCCAAACGAAGTAATAAAATCGATCGGTTGTTTTGCAGATGTTGTTAGAATAGCATTCCACACAATCTCAGCTGATTCTTGTAGTGGCTTGAATGATTCCTCAAAACGTCCACCTTTTTTAAAACATGTTCCAACCATTTTATTCAAATTCATTCCGTTTGCTACAAAAATATTTTCATTTTCAATTACCCATTTTGACAGCGGCTCAACATTTTCACAATTTGTCACTACACCAAGAATAGGAATCTTCTGCTTTGTCATTTGATTAACAAACATAGAATATTCATCTTTGGAGGATTGAAGAATAGTTCCACATCTTGTGACAAATATGAGCAAATTGAAGCCTTGTTTCTAATGTTCCAATAGATTATTAATATTGCTAACTACCTCTGCGAATGTTAATTTGTCGCGATTAGTTTTACTGAGTCCATCAATATCAAAAAAATGATATTCAACATTATTTCTTACAACCGGTGGATATTGTCGTATTTTGAAAACAGACTTATCTTCTGAATAATTGATATCAGAATCGATACCAGTCAATTCATTCAGCATGCTTGTCTTTCCAGCACTTGGTGACCCAAAAACTAATATACGTCTCGTTTCCATCTATATCAGAAAGAAAAAAAAAATCAAACTATAACCGTTTTCATTTCTTCAAACACAAATAATCTCTAGACAAAAATACTCATGTTTTTCGTCAACTATAGGACTGTAAACCTACACTTTAATGTAGTGTCTTGCAGCCCGGTCGGGTCCGGATATGTGGTCATATCTAAACCCGACCCAACTATTAAAAAAACCTCAAATTTTGAAAATTTGAATTTTGCGAAGTGGTTATGATATAGAGAAAGTGGACTCAAAATCAATTAGAGGTTAGTTAATAAACTTATTATTCATAAAAAAATAGCTCATTCATAGAAGGAAAAATGGATTTCCTTTCGTTTCGATCCATGTATCTTTCGAATGGCACAAATAAAATTTTACGTCTACTAGTGTTAGCTCTTCTCAATATGGAATACCTCGAGAGAGAAAAAGAAGATATTAAAGAAAGATTTGAGCAACACGTCTTTCAAACATGCAGAACATCGCTAACAGTCGTCGAATTGTGGAGAGATTTATTTATTTTTGTATCTAAAACGATGAAAAATCCGTCATTCATTTTGTATACATCTCATCGAATATTGCATTTTTTCTGAAATGAATTAAAGGATTTATTTTATTCCTAAAAACTCTTGTGAAGTATATCGAGTACCAATATTCAAGTCGGGTTCGGGTTGGGTTGGAGTCGGGTACAGAAAAACAGTGCCGCGTCCGGTCCGGGTACAAAAATGCGTACCCGTGCAGGACTCTACTTTAATGAGGCAATATCAGGTTTCAAGATCGGAACATTAAAAAGTGTCTACCACATTATCAACGTGCATAAAATGTGTCTATTTGAAACTAAATGATGCCACCGTGAATTGGAATTAAATTTGTTTAAGATTATATTTGATAACTTACCAATAAAAATAACTTTTAAATGAAGATAATGTATTGTTCAAGTAACAAACAAATGATAGTTCAGATATTTCTTCCAATAGTGAGTCGAGTTCTCTTTTAACAGAAAATTGTTTCTCCCTTTATATATATTGTTGAGCTGATGAATGCGATAATTCTCAGTCAATATGGGGAAAAAACCGGCAAATGCGTCAAATCATATTAAAAGAAGCCATTGAAAGTATATAGAAAAAACGGGCAAGCGCGTCAAATCATGTTGGAAGAAACCTATTAGAAGCACGCTGAAAAAATATTTTTTCTATATACTTTCAATGTGTTTTTTTAATATGATTTGACGCATTTGCCGGTTTTTTCCCCATATTGACTGAGAATTATCGCATTCATCAGCTCAACAATATATATAAAGGGAGAAACAATTTTCTGTTAAAAGAGAACTCGACTCACTATTGGAAGAAATATCTGAACTATCATTTGTTTGTTACTTGAACAATACATTATCTTCATTTAAAAATTATTTTTATTGGTAAGTTATCGAATATACTGGAATGCCGAGAAGCACGATTGTTGAGCTCTCACTGCGTCCAAACAGAAATCTCGAGGTATTAGACGAGGTATTGAGCTGAAAGCTTTTATATACAAGTGTCAATTACTAGACGATTCGCAATTCAAAACTCTTTATTTGTATAAAAAAATATAGGTAACTGTTTCAGTACCCAGACAAACAGATATTTCGAGAAAGTACAAGTTTTGTACATGAACGAAACAAACTACTCAAAGTTACTCGAGAATCATTTTGGATAAACTTCGCAGTAAAACATCGATTTTCACTAACATTTTCAGAGTTATTCCGATATTTTGAAAGAAAGTTTGTTCTCAAATATAAGACATACGCGTCAGATATTTTCAGAGTTGAGAATACAGGATCGTATCAGGATTTACTCAAGATCCTTGATAGGATCAGAAATGATAGCCACATGCATCAAGGATCTTGGCAAGAGAATAACAAAATAAATCACGATTGGAAACTAAGAAATCATGCTGAATTTTGATAAGGTTCCTGAAAAGGATTGTTGTTCAAGAACAGACATTTTGAATACCTCAAAAAATATATAGGTATGCTCAAGATCTTGATAAGAAAATACAGCGAATCAGTTCGAATCTTTTTAGGTTTGCTTTTAAAAGCTATTCAAAATATAATTTCTAGGATTCTGTCAGGAACCTAACAAGAATGTAAACTATTCAGAGTATTTGAGAATAATTTTTTAAAACTTATTGCTATCACTAAAATAGATATTAATTGAAGAAAGACTGGCGACTCTTAACTAAGAAGGAAGGATACTACTGGCGGAAACAAGTTTCGGAAGAGACCTTAGCATTAATTGTCGCTGCAGTTGGAAATTACCTAATATTCATTTCGAATAAAAAGACATAAATATCTTTTAATAGAAGCACGATAGAGATATGCGATGTTCAGCATTGGTAGATAAAGGAAATAATGCAACAAACTTGTTTTATCGAATTTCTGATACTTTTTTTTTGAGTTTTTTTCTGATTTACTTGAAAAGCATAGGTTTTAGGTAAATCTACATAGTAAACTTTCACTACAATATATTTTTTTTCTTTTAATTTTATCAAAAAAATGCTTAACTTTTCGTGAGTGAATGTCTATAATTCATTATAAACTGGCTCTAGTAGTGTTCGGCTTGCTCTGATTTACAGGTCTTTGATCCCATAGTTCTGATAGACGGCTCAAAATTGAAAATTCATTGTGCTGATTTCATGCTCTAGATGAGGGTATGGGTATGGGTGTGAGTGTGAGTCTTTTCTTGAGTCACATCCACACCCACACCTACACCCACATCTACACCCACACCTACACCCACACCCACCCCACCACACCCAACCCACACCCACAAAATCAAAGAAAGAGAGGACAAATCACTGTTTTATTTCATACCAAAGTTTTTTTTCCATTTAGTAGATGGATTCTCGAAGGGTACTTGTATTTGGCTCATCAAATGCTGGAAAGACGAGTATGATAAACATGCTCACTGACCAAGATTTTCCAGTCAACAGTTCTGCGCGTGGTTGTACTTTCGAAACAGTATCAATTCCACCATACGTAAAAAGAGGAGTTGAATATCATTTCTTCGATACTGCTGGACTTAATGAAACGGACAAAGGAACTGTGAAAAGTAAAGATGCAGTGGGAAATATTATCAAATTGTTAAAACATAGTAAATCTGGTATGAATTTACTTATATATGTTACGCGAATCGGAACCATTTCACAAACTGAGAAGGACAATTACAATATGTTTTGCAATATAATTACCAATCAAAGGGTTCCTGTCATTTGTGTAATAACTGGTTGTGAGAATGAAGAGCCAATGTCACAATGGGTAACAAATAATAAACATATTTTTCAAAACAATGGAATGGTATTCAAGAGTATGGTGGCAACTTGTTTTGCAAAAGGTGGACGTTTAGAACAATCGTACAGACCATTGAGAGAAGAATCAGCCAGAGATGTGTGGGATGCTATTACAACTTATTCCGCAACGGAACCCGTTGATTTTATACAGCACTCTGGTGGCATGGTCATGTTACTCCGAAAAATATGGAACGGATTTTGTGAATGGATTGGTCAAACAGCATGGACATGGGTCAATGAACATGTTAAAGAAATGTTAGTTAGTCTAGGCTTCAAAACCGAAGAGGCTGTTGTACTTGCTCAAGATTTTTGATTAATATGATTTTTACAACTGCTTTATAACGCTTCTCTGCTCTAGTATCAATAAATACAAACAAGAACTGGATTGTGTAACATTTTTATTGAAAGAATAGGGACGTATCTATATTCGCAGTCTGACACCCACACTCTAATAAAAAAAAACAGATATCCCGAAAAATAATTAAGGGACTTCCGAATTTGTTACCATCTGAAACACTTTAAAGGTTTCCAAGCATTCAAAAACCCTAAACTATCCATTTAAATGTCACAGCTGAGATCAGAATACAATTAAGATTAAAATATATGAAGAAAAAAAAATAAAGAAAAAAACTGAAAAACAAAACTCTTAAGGAAATGACTTGACGAATAGTATGAGAATTCAATTGAGATTAGAATGCATGAACGAATTTAAATTAAAAAACAAATTATTGCAAAAATTTCCAGTATTCGAATAACGATTTATGATCAATATGACACAGCTTACTTGCATAAACGTCAAAACATATCAAAACAAAGTTAAACTCAATAAATACAAATATATATGAATAGATTTTTTTTTATCTTGTTAAAGAAATTAAGTGAAAGATTTATAGTGTATACATTTTCTTTAGAGGACGTTCATGTTACTACGAAATTAACCTTTTCGCGGCCTTAATACATTTCCTCTGCAGAATAAACAAGTTTCAACTATCTTGTACGTCCTTCCCATATATAGTCGGGATTTTTCCGTTCCTTTTTAGTTTTATATTGTAGGATTTTTCCATGTTTTGTTCTATATATATATATACAAACACTTCTCTCATGTGGGATGGGCGAACATTCTAACTGGTGCACTGGCCAAGTGATAAACTAGTGACATTTTTATTCTCTTCTGACGGATCGTTTTTATTCAATATTGTTGTCAGTTTATTCTTGTATACTCAATCACCACCATTTCACACGTTCCAGATCTAAATCTCATCGTTCATCCAAAGAATCTCCAATTTCATCATCATCTATTGTATAAATTCTTGATCCATCTTCGATGACAAGTGTTCTCACGAAAGCTGAAGGTTCATCTCAATCGTATGATGACCATATACTTAATCCGGAGTCACACATTCAATTCAGTATACAACACTCAACTGCTGAATCAAAATCATCATCTCATTATTCTTCGAAACCATCACCGGTACCATCTTCACAGGAATCTACTCAGTTGTTACAAAATAAGTCGATCGTCTTAAGAGGCCCCCCTCCCCTCACCCTCAGAAACCAACTTTGTCATTTCTCATCCGATTTCAATGAAAATTTCAGAGAATGTCGGTCTTGGCTAGGGGAGACTGTGGTTAAAATATCTCCCGAAATCTCTGAGAAACGAATGAGTTACAGTTAATTTATCGGTCAAAAGTACCCTCCACGCGGGTAAGGTTTTCGATAAAAGAATATTGGCTAATCATGTCGGTGTGGTATTTAACTTGTAGAGTGCCCTTAGGGCCAGATCCTCACGAGCTACGATTTTTAAATTTCTCTTTGTTTGATTTTGGAAAATACTTTTTCGAAAAATGTTCAAATTCAAAGTGCTAATAAATATGAAATATGTAAGTTTTTTATTTTAGTAAAAGAGAAATTTAAAAATCGGAGCTCGTAAGCATCTAGCCCTAACTGCCTGCTTTACAATAAAACAAAATTATCACTTCTATATTGAATCGTTATTAAGAAATCCTTGCCCGCGTAAACGGTATGGTCGAAAAAATTGATTTTGAGAAAAATGAAAAAGAAACTCGAAAATTACCCGAAAAACATGATAGTGGATACAAATTTTCACCGATAAGTCCGTCCAAATCTGTCTGTTTTTCGAAAAATCATAATTATTCTGAAAGAGGAGACTTTGGCGCATCTTTCTATGACAAAAACTCAATTTCGATTTTTCTGAGGGGGGGGGTCCCCTTAAGAAAAACCAAAGAAAGTGCTTTTCTATACAGTTTCTCGTTAACCTATAGCGTCGCCTCGAAAGGGTTCATTTAGGAAAAATCTTATTCAACTGACAATATTTGAAGGTATTGTCAAACATCTTAATAAAACATGATGTTCTCGAAATATTTCATCATCTTTGACTGTTTTATTTGCTGCCTCTAAGGCATTGTTTGTACTAGATACATTAAATTGTATACCTTCATATCGACCATCATTTGTATATCAACAAACTTAATTATTTTAATAACTGACAATTTCACTTATTCTGCTGACTACTTAAATGGTAACCTTAAATGATTTGTCATTCTCCTCTATAAATGAAGAATTTTCATCAATAAACAAAAATCTGAAATAATTCTACACAATACACATATATCCAAATATTTAATGAATTTAAAAATATGAACTGACACAAAAGAAAAAAGAAACAAACAACATTAAACAAAAAAAAAACAATCAAAGCACAAGTTTTATATTAATATATAATAATAATAACTACTGTTGAGATTGTAATGGATATCCATTCATAATAGATCCATTTTTTGATGACATTAACATTTGATGATGAGAATAAACATTTGCTTGTTGTTGATTTGGATCAACAATTTGTTGAGGTAAAAATGATAATGGGTTCAAATAATCTAAATATTTATTACAGCAAAAAAAAAAACATTCTTTTTTTAAAGTTTTTTGTTTTACATACTTGGTATTTGTGATGGACCACGTACACGTGGCATTTGATTAGCATATGAAGCTGATGCAGCAGCAGCAGCAGCGGCAGCAGCAGCTGATGATGGTGTCATATAATTGAGATAAGCAGAAAATGCTGATTGAGTTTGTGATGAAGGATAACCAACAGTTGATCCTGAAGCTCCATTACGAACAACTTGTGATGAAGATGGTGGATATCTTGATCCAGGACTTGTTGCTCCTATTAAATATTTTTAAACGAAACAAAAAAAATCGTTTGTTTTTTTTTCCTATCGAAAAAAAGATGTTTACTTGAATGCATTTGTGAAATATGTGATGATCTTGATGATTTGCCTGATGGTGATGGATAAATATGTGATGATGATGATGAAGATGATGATGGACTACGTGGTCGTTTTGAACTAACATTTGTTGCAGTTGTTGTTGGAATAAATGATTGGGATTGAGATGATTGTGATGGTGGTGGTGGTGGTGGTGGTTTATAAGCTAATAAACGATGAGATGGTTGAGCTGATAAATAATGTTGTGGATGATGAGAATATTGTGCCATTTGAAGATCTTAAAATAATTGATTATTTATAATTAGAAAAAAAAACAGTATTTTTTTTTTCTTTTTTTACTTGGTGAATAAAGACTTGTCCATGATGGTTCTTTTGTTACTGTTTGTTGAGAATGTTTTCGACGATCTTCTTCTGTTAATGCACGTTTTAATAAATTATACTGTTCACATTTTTGTTGTTGTAAATCAGCTATAGTTCGTTCTAATTTAAGAATATCTTTTGCATTATCTTCTAATTGAACTTTTGATGATGATAATGCTTTTGCCTAAAACAAATAAATCAATATTTATATTTTAAATTCTCAATTATATCGAATGAGGTAAGTTCTTCAACTAGTTTATTGTTTTTGAATTGAGAAAGACACGCTTTTATTTTGGTCTGTTCCTATACAAACTTTCAAGTGGAAATTCGAAGAATAGTTTTCCTAATATTTTTGAGCAAAGCCCTGATATTGAATGAAAAAATACCGTAATACTACAATCATAGTCATTTAAAAGTGAATGTGCTGATAATTCAATTCATTCTCAACTTGGATGGTGATTTGTTAAGATTGTATAGGGAGTTATTTGTGAAAAAACAACTTGATTTAATAATCTATGTAATTATTCTTTTTTTGTTTTTGTTATAATCTATGGCACAAACGTCTGGCCACAAAATATTCACTGATTTTTCGACTACTAAAAGACAACTGGTTAGAGTCAGTGGCAACTATAATACACATGCGTACAGCACCACAATGAGAATGAGGGTGAAATCTATGACTAAAAAGGATTTCGATTTTCGCCATTCTGCCTTTGACATTTAGCCATTGCTAGTTTGATTTGTTCAGATACAGTTGTGGACTTTTTCACAAAATTTACTTAAAATTGTTCAATTTTATCTCAGAAGGAAAATTTGAACATATATTCAAGAATAGTGAAAAATGTTGGTTCTAAGCACTTGTCTTTTAGTGGCCGAACAATAAGCAAATATTTTATGTGAAGATTTTCGTGCCATAGATTGTATCGAATACTATGAAAATATTTTATTAAATGATTTAATGAGTTTCCCATCCTGAACTTTAACTAATCCAATGTCAAACAATTGATATTTCGACACTGTTTAATATCGCAACATGATCATCCCTCGGTGTAATTCACATATAAAAAATAAAGATGATTCTATGGCATATGGGTCTAACCGATTCATATCAATAAGCTTACTCAATTCTCATCCAATTTTTCATACAATAATTCCCCTTGCTCCACTCTTAAAAGCCGCAGATCATTGGAAACTACCATTCTTAATTTACAAAAAAAAAACCACAATTCAAACCAAATCTTTCAACTAGAACAATTCTATACAACATGCATGACAAAAAAAAATAACATTCGCTTCAAAAACCATCGATTGCTTACGATGGTCAAGTCTCAGTGCAGATCCGTATCCACCATAAAAGATCCCTATGTATTCTATTATGTGCAGTGCATCATTTCT